TATAAAATTAGTTTACATTGTACCCTCCTCTTTCATTTCTTGGAAGCGATTGTAAAGAACTGGCATCGTATCTTTCTTAGATGTTTGGCACAATTTGCTGGCAAATCCATCTAGGCCTGGGTTTTGTTAGATTTTAGATTATGAATTCAATATTTGAATAAATATGGGATGATTTACCTCATATAGTTATTGGATACATTTGGTAGCATGTAGATTTTTAAGGAATTTGACCACATTCAGTCATCTGATGTTTGAGCATAGAGTTGTACTATATTTTATTATTATTTTTTAACGGGGAGAATGATAGCCTCTCTTTCATTCTTGATATTGATAAGATGGCTTATATTTGCCCAAATTGGATAGGCAGAACTAACATCATCAAAATGGCGATATTACCAAAAGTTCTCTATAGGTTTAATGCAATGCCAATCAAAATCCCAATGGCATTTCTTGTAGAAATAGAGAAAGCAATCATGAAATTCATATGGAAAAATAAAAGACCCAGAATAGCAAAAGCAATTCTAAGCAGGAAGTGTGAATCAGGTGGTATAGTGATACCAGATTTAAAACTATATTACAGAGCAATAGTAACAAAAACAGCATGGTACTGGTACCAAAACAGGCAGGTGGACCAATGGTACAGAATAGAGGACACAGAGACTAATCCACAAAGCTACAACTATCTTATATTTGATAAAGGAGCTAAAAGCATGCAATGGAGGAAGGATAGCATCTTCAACAAATGGTGTTGGGAAAACTGGAAATCCATATGCAACAAAATGAAACTGAATCCCCTCCTCTCGCCATGCACAAAAGTTAACTCAAAGTGGATCAAGGAGCTAGATATCAAATCAGAGATTCTACGTCTGATAGAAGAAAAAGTTGGCTCCGATCTACATATTGTGGGGTCGGGCTCCAAATTCCTTAATAGGACACCCATAGCACAAAAGTTAATAACAAGAATCAACAAATGGGACTTACTTAAACTGAAAAGTTTTTTCTCAGCAAGAGAAACAATAAGAGAGGTAAATAGGGAGCCTACATCATGGGAACAAATTTTTACTCCTCACACTTCAGATAGAGCCCTAATATCCAGAGTATACAAAGAACTCAAAAAATTAAACAATAAGAAAACAAATAACCCAATCAACAAATGGGCCAAAGACCTGAACAGTCACTGAGCTTCTTACTTCTTACATCTAAAAATTCATGTCTTTCACTAAATTTGGAACCTTTTAGCAAGTATTTCTTGAAGTATTTGTTCTTTACTAATCTCTGTTCCTTCTAGAATTTAAAATGATATTTTAGGCTTACTAAATTTGTCCTACAGGCTTCTTAATTGGTTCTCAATATTTTTTTTTTGTATTTCAGACTGGACAATTTCTAACAAGTTATCTTTTAACTGACTATCACCTCCATTCTGATAGAAATTACATATAATAAGTATTTCTAAAAACTTCAGATATATTTTTCTCTTTTGCTTGTATACCTCATTCTTTTATACTAGCAAAGAACTGTTTATAATATTCTCCTATGATAACCTAAAACACTTATTAACAAAAAAGCAGACAGAATAACTTATCCCAAGTTTAATAATGATCATTTCAATCTTATTTAAACTTTATCTATGTCTCTCCTCACTTCTGCCCCTTACCTATTAGACTAATCCCATTTAATCTATAAATAATTCCATTATGTAGTGTTAAAGTCACTTAAAAAGTAACCTCTACACTATTATTAAACCAGCCAATTTCTTAATATCAAGCACAGTGTTTAAACTTCTAATTGTCTCTTAATGTCATTAGCTCCTCCCTGCCATTTACAATTTGTTGTACTGGTTGATTCCATATCTTGACTATTGTGAATAATGCTGCAAAAATATAAAGGTGCAATTATCTGTGTGACATACTGATTTCTCTTCCTTTGGATATGTGCTATGTAGCAGAATTGGTGGATCATATATCAAAACTATTCTTACTTTTTTTTTGAGAAAATGTCACTGTTTCTGTAACAGTGGTAACTAATTTACATTCCCACTAATGATGTATAAAAATTCCTGTTTCTCTACTTCCTCCTCAACATTTATTGATTTTGGTATTTTATAATGGCTATTGTAACACTAAGATATCTTACTGTAGTTTTGATTTGCATTTCCCTGATAATTAGCGATGCTAAGCATTTTCTCATATACTTGTTGGTAATTTGTGTATCTTCTTTTGAGAAAGGTTTATTCAGATTACTTGACCATTTTTTTTGCTCGAGTTCCTTAAAGAGTTTTTAACCTTTGCTATAGTTTATTTATGACGTTTTCCAATTCTGATTTTATGTGGATGTGTCTTTTTTTCTAGATTAATTTTGCCAGTGAATTGCTTATTGTTATCCTTCACAAACAGCTAATTTTTGGTTTTGTTAAATTTTTAAAGAATTTATTTCTGCTTTTAAAATCATTATCTTTCTTCAGATTTGTCGTTTTTAAATGTCTTCAGTTGAATCTTAGCTCATTAAATTTCAAGCTTTTTTTCTTCTAATGGATGTGTATGGTTGTAAATGTCCTCAAAATACTGGTGTATAGCTGCATCCTACAACTTTTTTTTTTTTTTTTAAATAAATGGACACAATACCTTTGTTTATCTTTTATGTGGTGCTGAGGATTGAACCCAGTGCCTCACACATACTAGGCAAGCATGCTACCACTGAGCCCCAGCCCCCTACAAGTTTTTGACATGTGGTATTTCTTTTATTGAGTTTTAAATGTTTTCAGATTTCTATCCTGATTTCTTCTGATCTATGAATAAGTAGAATATTATTCAGTTTCCAAATATATGAACAAATTGCCAAATATATAAGGTTGTGAAGTAATTTCTTGGTTGCCGATTCCTAGTTTAATTGTATTTTTTTTCAAAGAAAGCTCTGCATAATCCCAAGCACTGGTGTATGTTCAAATTTCCTTTATTAGCCAACTCTATAGACTAGTTTTGATAAATGTTTCACACGTAGAGAATGAATGTTCTCTGGATGTTCTGTGCAAGATACATGTCGATTAGGTATACTTGTGTTGTTTGAATCTTTTGAGCCTTAATAACTTTTTTGTACATTTGGTCAATTAATCATTAAGAAGGAAAAAATGTTCCCATTGTAACTTTGGATTTCTTACTTTTCCCCTGGCAATGATGAATCTGTAGCTTAAACATTCTGAGACTACATTAATTTGTAATAATTTTACATTATTTTAACTTCTTTGTGAATTGGTGACCTTCTTGATTTTTATTTTTATAGTTCCATCCATTCTCTTTTGGTATTTGCCTGTTATTTTTTAGTTTTCCATTTTCAAATTTTCCTGTAAGCAGGATATATTTGGATTTTAACTATAGCATTTGCTTCATTTATTATTTTTGCCTAGAATTACCTCAATATTGCCCTCATTTTTGAATCATAGAATTTAATATGGAAATGGAGGTTGTCAGTCATTATTTTTCCTCTCAAAATTTTGAAGATATTATTCTGCTGTTGTTGAGCTTCTGTTTTGCTATCGATGGTGTAGTGACAATCTAAATAGCATCCTTTTGGAGACAACCTGATTGTTTTGTCTACTCTTATCTCAAGGGTAGGTTGTGAGCATAGGTGTTTTCTTTTGGATGTGTGAGATTATCTGCAATGGTGGTTTATGAATGGCAACTCTGTAGCCTTATTGGTTATTCTGGACTTATTTTTTGCTAGATGCCTCAAAAAGTTTTATGAGCCTAGGACCATTTTGTTAATTTTGGGGCTCCATGGTTCCTGGATTGAGCAGGGAATGTAAACTCATATCCCAAAACCAAAGACACATTTCTAATTGAAAGTCCTAGGGGAATCCAGCCTTACCTCCAACCCCATTCAAAGAACAAGCCCATAAAAATACATTATTTGTCACTGACATGTGCCAGTAGATATATTTTTTAATTAAAACAATTTTTTAGAGTTGTATATGAACAAAAACCTTTATTTTGTTTATTTATTTTTATGTTGTGCTGAGGATTGAAACCAGTGCCTCACACATGTGAGGTAAGCACTCAACTGTTGAGCCACAACCCCAGCCCCAGTAGATATATTGTTTTAAATTTACCCTTTCACGTAAGTCATCTCCCTCTGAGGGTTCTAGTTCTAAGCTATTTAGGGCCTCACTAAGTTGCTGAGGTTGGCTTTGAACTTGCAATTCCCTTGCCTCAGCCTCCCCAGCCATTGGGATTAGAGGCGTGCATCACCATGCCCAGCTGTAAATCTGATTTTCATGATTCTTTTAAAGGTATGTTCTCCCACCCCGTCTCTCTTCATAAACATATATTAAATCTAATTTTTGACTCTGTTGATATTCCTTAATTAGCAATCAATCTCAACCTGTTAGAGTTATTTACAACATTCTTCTCTGAGGTACTTCTAAACGAAAACTCTACATAATTAGCAGAGATCAGCTGATGTGTAAGAACACAGAATTCAACATATTTTACACTGGTCAGTATAACCAACTCTGAGACCTCCAAGAAGACTCTAACCTCTTGCAGCCTAATTTTCTTAACCAAACAAAATATTTTTAATGATAAACGGATCAATATTTGTACTCACCATTAGGAACCTACAGATTTTAAGATCTTTTTTTTTTTTTTTTTTTAAATGAGATCTTGCTATACCGCCTGGGCTGGACTTGCTATCCTCCTGTCTCAACCTTCACGGTAGGTGGGAATACAGATATACGACACCAAGTCCAACTAGATTTTTAGAATCGTAGACTTTTAAAATTAAGAACCTTAATGTATGTGTAAACTTCCTGAAATTTATATTTGTTTATTTAACTCTAACAGTGCTGGTGCCCAATAAAGTAAGTGAAGTAAAATTAAGTTTTTTTAAAGTTGTAGTGTTGTAGTATCAGTTTATATAGTCAACAAATATCTGCATGAACAAAAGCAACAATTTATACAAATCACGTCTTATGTTCTTCCCTGAAGTGACTCAATACATAATAATACCTTAGCTTTTGGAGTAGCTTTAATTGTCCATATGCAATCAACTGCTTGGCCAGGTTTTGTTTTTTCTTCTTGTTCTACCTGACTAGAACGTACTATTCCATCTGCTCCCGAGAGCTCAAACTGGCAATCTAGAGAGAATAAATGAATGACGTTCAAAGGAAAACAAGACTGACCAAAAATGCCATGGGGAAAAAGAGGTAATATACTAAACCTGGGATGGGATTTAAAATACCTCCTAGGTAAGTAAAGTCTGGATCTGTAACAGAAAAAAGAAGAAAGTTATTCGTATTGAATTACTTTAAGGCTTAAATATTAGTTTACCTCAACAGTCCATTTATGAACTCACTTATAGAATCAATATTTATTTAATGATGATGTTCATATTTTTGATCCCATCATGAATTAATAACTTATGCTGCTTGAAAACTCACATCAATTACCAAAAGTAGTAGTCTGTTGACCAATGAAGGGATAAACAAAATGTGGTAACACAAGGGAATATTAGTGCAACCTTTAAAAAGAAATGAAAGTTATTTTGGCTGAATCACATTAAAATTTGTCTTAATAAATTTTTTTGCATAGTAAGAGTAGTGGTGATAGTTGCAAAACATTGTGAATGTACATAATGCCACCAAATTGGAGATTTATGAATGGTTAAAGAGTAAATTTTATGCTATGTACATTTTACCACAAGAAATTTTTAAAAATTACAGACAGGGGCTTCTTTAAATACTACCTTAAAGTTCAGATATGACCTGCATTCACCAAAATACTAGAATAAAAAAAACTGCTGGAGAGTCAAAAATGTCTCAGAATCCTTATCTTGGAAAACCTATTTCATACATAGTTTATTTTATGTAATGGGATGCTCAATTCTTGTTAAAACTGTCTTTTAAATTCCAGACACTTTAGAAAGTTATTAAACTACAAATTGGAAAAAAGTGGAAATAAATTAGGAGCTTTATTTAGAATACATCTCAGGGACTGTCCTTTTTAGACTTAAACTCATCCTTGCTAAAAGGTGACAACTAATAGGACATTACAGCCCTTTTGCAGAAAAATGTCAAAAGTAAATTTAAATCTTAAGTGGTACTGGGTGAAAAAGTCAGGAGCTAACTGGCAAGTTAATCAGAATTTTTCATATGAAGGAAAGAATTTTAAGGTTTTATCCTTATTCTTTTAAAATTCTCACAATTATCTAGTTAAATCCAGGAAGTAATATTGATTGAGAGCCTCTATCTTAACAACATTAGAGAATTTCATTAAAAGACAATAATTTTTTACAACTGTTAATAGTTTTCTTTTAGATTTACCACTCCCTAGACAAAATTTATTTTATATTATAGGGGTAGAAAAGATGGTGGAATGAGATGAACATCATTACCCTTGATTGCATGAATGGGGCATCTCTACATCATGTACAACTAGAGAATCAAAATGTTGTGCTCCATTTGCGTATGATGAATTGAAATGCATTCTATCATGTACAAGTAAGTGGAACAAATAAAAATGATAAGAAAATAATAACAAAAAATTTATTTTATAAACATGACTTTTAATAACAGCAGATATAGCCACATTTTAGCAAATTAGACATTGCCTATTTATTTTGACATGGAACATCTTCCTTTCTTCTAACAATGAAACTGAAGAATCTTTACTTATATCACAAAGTCAACAAAAAAGAAAAAGTTGCTTAGAGAATTAGAATTTAGTCCTGATTTAAAAAATAAATTTTTTTTTAGTTGTTGATGGACCTTTATTTTACTCATTTATTTATATGTGCTGCTGAGAATCAAACCCAGTGCCTCACACATGCTAGGCAAATGCTCTACCACTGAGCCACAATCCCAGCTTCTACTCTTATATTTGCCATCTACAAGAAAATCTTCATCTCTAAGTTTCCTCATCTATAAAATAGGATCTATTGTCATTCAAATGACAATAATGTCAATCTTCCTGACATTATTGTCATTTGAATAAAATTAAATATAATGTCTGTAGAAACTCTGAAGCACCATAAAGTGCAAATGAAAGGTCAAAAAAGTCTAAAAATCCTATGAATTTCACAATTTGTCTATATTTTAACTATAATCCATATAAAGCTTCTCTAATAATATATAAAAATAGAGGAAAAAGAGCTTTTGTCCAAATTAAGCATCTTAATATACAAGGTGATTCTTTTAAAAATATCTTAAAACATTACTCAAATAAGAGTAGTGTTTTTGCTACTGATAATAGTGTCTTCAGTTAACAGAAATCGAATACCTGACCAATTTTTAACTAAGCCAGCTTTTATAATTTTTTTGGGCACTGGAACCCAGTGTTTTGGTAGACCGAGTGCTCTAACACTGAGCTATACCCCCAGCACTTTCTTTCTTTTTTTTTAAATTTTTTTATTTTTTATTTTTTTACCCCCAGCACTTTCTAAAACTATATTTTGAGACTGGGTCTTCCTAAGTTGCCAAGGTTGGCCTTTAACTTGTGTAATTACCACCACTCTTCATTTCCAGAACTTTTCCTTATCATCCCAAGCTGGAAGTCTATATCCATTAAACACTAATTCCTCATTCTACCCTTCTTAAGTCACTGGCAATTCTACTTTCTGTTTGTATGAATGTGACCACTTTAGATATGTTACATAAGTGAACCCACATAGCACTGATCCTTTTGTTTCTGGCTAATTTTATTTTTAGCATGTATCAAATTTTATCCATGTTGTAATATATATCACAATTTACCCAAACCAGTTAACTTACATCCTCACAAAAACCTACACATGATGTTTACAGCAGTTTTACTCCCAACTACTAAAACTTGGAAGCAATCAAAACATCCTTTAATAGAATGGATAAACTGTGGTACATCTGATAAAACATTAAGATATTTTTAAAAAAATTTTTTAGCATTCAGTGCTAAAAAAAAAAAGAAAGAAAGAGCAGTCAAGCCATAAACAGACATGGAAGAACTTATGTGCATATGGCTCAATGAGCAAAGCCAATCTGAAAAGGTCACATACTTATGATTTCAATTATATGTGGCATTCTGGAAAGGACAAAACTATGGATATAGTAAAGAGATCACTATTTGCCAGTGGTATAGGGGAAGAGAAGAATGAATAGGAGGACCCCCATGGAATTTTTAGGGCAATGAACCTGTTCTGTATACTACTATAATATACATGTCAATATACATTTGTCAAAACTCATAGAACATACAAAACCAAGAATGAACTCTAAATTATGATTTTGGATGATAATGATGTGTCAATGTTGGTTCATTGATTTTAACAAACGAACCACTCTGCTGCAAAGTGGTAATGAGAGGCAAGAGGTGTATGATATATACTTCCTACCCAATTTCTGCTATGAACCTAAAACTATTCTTAAAAAAATAAAGATTATAAGACAAATTTTACTTTTTTGGAATGTTGTCATTTTAGCAGTAGGCAAATAAATATTAAGGCAAAACTTTAAAATTTCCATAACATTTACTGACAAGAATTATAAGTTATTTTTATTTTTTGGGCAAACAAGTAATGTTCTGACTGTTCTCACAGCGTTCTTAGGAACCAGAGGTAGGTAAGATCCTATTGGTTGGACAGTGCCCCCTCCCAATACATCTACATCAGAATCCCCATAACCTGTATAACCTTATATTTTTTAAAAAGCAAATATTACAAGGTGAAAGATATAATTAAGATTTTAAGAGGAGAAAGAGATGTGAAGATGGAGATCGAGATTGGAGCAATATGGCTATGATATCAGAAGAGTTGGAGCAGCTACCAGAAGCTAGAAGAGACAAAGAATAGATTTTCCCCTACAGTTCCTAGATGGAGTAAGGTCCTGGTAGATTGAACTTTTGATCTCCGAACTATGAGGATATATTTTTATTGTTTAAGTGTCCAAATTTGTAGTGATTAATTATGTCAGTCTCAGGAAACTAATACAGTAGGTATTACCCCTTTCACCAATGGCAAATATCAGGTACAACTCTGTGCTTAGGTCTTACAGCTATTAGGTGACAGAAAAAAGACTCAAACCCAGATCTTTTACCTACAAGTGCAGAACAGTATTTTTTCTATTGCTCATTATTTTCAAGAGCATTTATTCAAATGAACGGCTAAGTCAAATCAGTCCAATAAAAAACCTGCCAAAATTTTTGTGGGGATTGTGAAAACCAAACAATATGTTGAAATTATTTAAAAATACATTTATTTTGATATTGTGGACCTTAAGTATGTGTTTTATAAAACACAAGAAAAATAAGAAAATATGATATCATCTGTATTATGCCTCAAAATTCATATGATATGGTTCTAGTTCCAAGTTTTATTAAGGTTTATTTGTTCATAGACTAATTTCCTTTTCACCTTGAGAATCCCTTTAAAGTCTTGATCTTATTAACTTGACCAAATTATCTCTTTTCTAGCCTTAGGATTCTGCAATCAGGGTGAGATACTCAACCAGTGAAAAGATTATTCTTTACCTGGAATAAATGAGTATTTTGCTCGAAATCCCAGTCCTTCAAGTTCTTCATCAGAACTAAACTTAATCCACATGAATCTCCCTGTTGACCTGATTAATGGAGGGCTTTTCATGCCACAGTAACGATCTATAAGAGGAGAGAAACCAAATGGCCCATCTCGAACTTCCAAGTGATCAAACCGACATTCAAATGATGGCTCTATATAATAATGTTCATCAAAGGTCAACTCTATTCTTTGACGTGGAGCAGCTATAAAACAAAAGCAAGCAAATAAGGGCAACAGAAATGGAAATATATAAATGTACAAACAAATGAGAAAAACAGAACAATCACTCTAATTCTTCATAGATAAGGATCATAATGAGAATTTTTATAGGTCACAATAAATGTCATATTTTACAATACTAATAATGTACTCTGTAGAACTATTGTAACCTTCTCTTTGGCAAATGCTGTTTATTAAATTAAATGTATATGACTGATTAAAATTGAAGCTTCGAAAAGTTATTGGTTACTTATTTCATGAGATAAAATGTATCATGACACACAAAAGAATAAGCAGAAGAATGAAGGGAATTCACTAATTTGGACATAAATTTGCATGAAGACTAATAAAAAATGCCAGTAAGTTTAGGTTTTTATCAGAGGAATTTCTCATACATAGTGATGCACTTAACTGAATCATAATTTAGGAGATTCAAAATTCTCATGAAATTTCAATTATCATTTTGCTAATGTATTCAATATTTAGAAATACTAATCATTACTAGAGTTTAATTCAAATATAAATTTTGTTCAAACTAGCTTAAACATGGTATTTTTAACCAATGCAGTTAATTTTGCAACAAAGTAGAAAATTCATCCAATAAAAAAATTGGTCAAATACCTTCCAAAATGTAGATACACTCCTTGTTTGGTGGATATGACTCAGGATAATTTGGTGAAGCAAAATGACCTCCATTACTGGTTCGAACCCAAATGCCACACTGGGTTACAGGAATGTGCTTGATTCCAATATTTTGTCCATCTTAGGGAAAAAATAGCATTTAAACATAATTATAGTAAAGCAGAATAGCATTCTTCCTTTTCCCCAACAACTTTCCAAACAATTGCCCACTCTGTAATATATATATATATAAAATTTTGTAAGAACCACTGCCAAATTTAGTTCAACAAACTGAGCACAGAACGAAGTAAAAGATTGTGTATGCTGTGCTTGCTAGAGGAACTTTGTGCTGGAGGATAAGTTTGCCATGTAGAGAATATAAAGTGCAAAACCATATAAGAGAATCAGATAAATCAGTAAAATGTAATAAAATTCAGTTCTGACATAAAAATAAAAGAATCTATGGAGTTATCTCTGGCATCCTTATATTTAGTTTAACACAAAAGTCAAATGATTCAAAGATTACAGAAAGATTTTAAAGACTGTAGTTGAACACAACTATTCAGTTCTGCTGTCTCCTCAAGTTCCACTTAAAAGCAGTAAAAGGATTTTTTTTTTTTTTTAAGGGCATAAACTTGTAAGTACAAGGAGGTAGATACAAAGAAATAACTGGTAGTTCTAGAAGTAGAGTGAGGGGTTATGTGAAACTGGTAATTTTAATAATATGACGCTGTTTACATATACATAAAGTCTGTATATGAATTGTTTCATATACTTTATCTTCTCCACAAATCTAGGCAGCTGCTGCTCATATATTATTTCTTTGGAGAAGGTAAAACAGAGTTAATGGAATAGGAGACCTCAGGTGTAGCTGAGGATAAAAATGCCCATGGACTGATTAGTGAGTGCTAACACACTGAATGACACTCCCGAGCTTCTCCTACTGGGCTCACCAAAGGCCTCAGTGAGTTATGGAGTTTCTAAATGGGAAATGGAAAGATTCTTTCCTGGGAAATCTAATTATTCCTAAAGATTCAATGATGCAGACCTAGGAGATACCCAATGTCAGGACATTCCACAGTGAGGGCCACAGCAGACAATCCTTACTTACACCTGCAGACTGCTAATGAGCAATTTTTCAGTGCCCCTCTTAAAATCTGAACAGATGTTCAGTAATCACTGAATATTTAAAGCCACTAATTTGAAAATCAGACCCAAACAAAGAGAGAAAAAGCAACTCTAAGGAAACAAAGACTGCAAGAAAAATATTTTTTTAAAGACAGTAACAACATAAAACTTTAATCTGAGAAAGAGAAAAGCAAATACATGAATAAAACAAGAACAAGGACATTCTTTTAAAAAGCATATGTATAAAACAAGAATGCATCCAAAAACAGAAGCAATGAAAATATTAGAAAAAGTTTTGGGCCAATCTGACCTCTGCCTGTGGTTGTGCATAAAGTTTTACTGAATATATGCATGCCCATCATGTATATGTATTGTCTGTGGCTACTTTCACACCAACAGCAGAGCTGAGTAGGTGTGCCAGAGACTGTATGGTCTTAAATACTTATTATCTGAATGTTTACAGAAAAAGTTTCCTAATTCCTGGTCTACAAAATAAAGCCTAGGAAGTCACCCAGCACGTGGAACAAAAAGACAGATGGAAAAAACCAAACAAACAAACAAATAACAATAGAGCCATAACTAAATAATGGCATTCCTAAAGAGAGAGAACGGAGAAAATGGGGGGAGGAGAGAGATTTTGAAAAATTTAACAAAACCCCCAAATTTCCAAAACCAAATGCAAAATTCATATTGAAAAAACTTGATGAGTAACTTGATATAAACCCTGAATTACTGATTTAACCAGAATATAGCTATATTGAGAAGGGTGGTAAAAATGGAAGAGAACATTGTGGATGGGGGTGAACAGTAGGTGTGTCAAAGAGCTAAATTATTCACCTTCCATGGTGAGAAATCAGTATCAGATGCTTAAAATTGAAATAATCAAGAAATAGAAGAACAGCATGTTACTTAAAGATATGAGAGAAAATTCCAAACAATCAGTTTAAAAAAGTAGTTATTTATATTGAGCAAGAAGATGGTTGGGGTAGGCTAGGAGGAGGACTGGTTTTTTCCTAATTATTTAGTACACTTGGATTTTTGTCATGTACATGTATAACTGACAAAAATAAAGAACAATTAGGATTATAAGGAAATGTACCCAACTATGACATGAAATTCTGGCTCAAAAAACACACTAATCTTTTTTTCTACATCAGGATACTTAAAATAGGACCAAAGAGCTTCAAATAAGGTATTGAGAAAGGTTTCATTTGTTTTCACTGGAACAAGGGATTGTTTTTTTTATTTTTGCTTAGTGATAAAGTATGAATATCATTAAACTTTTACACATAATCCAGTGTGCTAGGAGCTAGTAGTGATGCCAAAAAATTTTTAATTTACCAGGAGATGGTTTTTGTTGATGATTTAGTCTAGTTAACAAGTTGCATCCAGTTAAATGAGGTTGATAGGTTGACAGAAAGCTTTAGGTTATTGGAGTATGCAGAAGGATTATAGAAATAGTACTCAAAATTTTTTTTCAGTCATTTCAATTAAGCCATCCCACTGTTCTGGACAAGTAGTAAGTTATCATTGTAAGTACTTTACCTTGGGTCTTTTGGGCCACAGCGATCCCTTCCACTACAAGTATTGTTATCAATAACACTAGAGAAATAACAGAAAAGTAAAGTTAAAAAATTGCATTTTTATGACATTTTACTAAGTCTACAAGGAGTTTCAGATGATAATAAAAGATTAACTCACTATTTCTTACTAACAATGTTCACTCTCAAGTGTTAAGTGTTATGTTCTGATTTATATGTGACCCTTAAGACAACCTAAGAAAAGATAAAACTGATTTTTATAATCAGTTATTCAAGCACTAAGAGATGTCATTTATTTTTCAACTTGGTGTTTTAAAAAATAATTTAAAAACCTCAAAGCCCTAGAAAAATCAGAACAAATTAACACCAGAAGTAGTAGAAGACAGGAAGGAAATAATTAAAATCAGAGCTGAAATCAATGAAATTGAAACAAATGAAACAACTGAAAAAACTGACAAAATGGAAAGTTGTTTCTTTGAAAAAAACAAATAAAACTGATAAACACATAGCCACATTAAGGAAGAGAAGGAGAAAGAAAGCTCAAATTACTAAAATCCATGATGAAAGAGGAAATATCACACGGACTCTACAGAAATACAGAAGATAATTAGAAACTATTTTTTGAAAATTTGTACTCCAATAAAATAGAAAACATCGCAGGCATGGACAAATTTCTAGAGTCATATGATTTACCCAAATTGAATCAGGATGACATACACAAATTAAACAGATCAATTTCAAGAAACGAAATAGAAGATACCATCAAAAGCCTACTAACCAAGAAAACCCCAGGACCAGACAGATTCACAGCTGAGTTCTACAAGACCTTCAAAGAAGAATACCAATACTCCTCAAATTATTCCATGAAATAGAAAAAGAAGGAAGATTTCCAAACTCATTCTATGAGGCAATATCACTCTGATTCCAAAATCAGACAAAGACACATCAAGGACAGAAAACTTCACACCAATATCTCTAATGAACATAGATGCAAAAATTCTCAATACAGTTCTGGCAAATTGAATACAAAAACATATTAAAAGATAGTACAACATAATCAAGTTGGGTTTCATCCCAGGGATGCAAGGTTGGTTCAACATATGAAAAACAATAAATGTAATTCATCACATCAATAGATTTAAAGATAAGAATCATATGATTATGTCAATAGATGCATAAAAAGCATTTGACAAAATACTGCGCCTCTTCATAGTCAAAACACTAGAAAAATTAGGGATAAAAGGAACATACTTCAACACTGTAAAAGCTGTATATGCTGAGTCCCAGGCCAACATCATTCTAAATGGACAAAAATTGAAAGCATTCTCTTTAAAAACAGGAACAAGTCAAGGATGCCCTCTTTCACCACTTCTATTTAACATAGTTCTTGAAACTCTAGCCAGAGCAATTAGACAGGTGAAAGAAATTAAAGGGATATACATAGGAAAAGAAGAACTCAAACTATCACTATTTGCTGACAACAGGAGTCTATACTTAGAGGATCCAAAAAATTCTACCAGAAAACTTCTAGAAATAATAAATGGATTCAGCAAAGTAGCCGGACATAAAATCAACACCCATAAATCAAACGCATTTCTGTACAGCAGTGATGAATCCTCTGAAGAGAAATTAGGAAAACTACCCCCTTAACAATAACCTCAGGGGAAAAAAAATACTTGGGAATCAATTTTAGTGAAAGAAGTAAAAGATCTCTACGATGAAAACTACAGAACACTAAAAAAGAAATTAGAGAAGTCCTTAGAAGATGGAAAGATCTCATACTAGACAAACATCTCCCTTGTTCTTGGATAGGCAGAATTAATAATTGTCAAAATGACCATACTACCAAAAATACTATACAGATTTAATGCAATTCCAATCAAAATCCCAATGACATTCCTCATAGAAATAGAAAAAGCAATCATAAAATTCATCTGGAAAAATAAGAGACCCAGAATAGCCAAAGTAATCTTTAGCAAAAAGAGTGAAACAGGTGGCATCACAATGCCAGACCTTAAACTATACTACAGAGCAATAGTAACAAAAACAGCATGGTATTGGCACCAAAATACACTTGTAGACCAATGATCCAGAATAGAGGACACAGAGACAAACCCACATAAATACAGTCATCTCATACCTAGACAAAGGTGCCAAAAACATATTGGAGAAAAGATAGCCTCTTCAACAAAGGTGCTGGGAAAACTGGAAATCCACATGCAGAAACATGAAATTAAGCTCGTATCTCTCACCATGCATAAAACTCAACTCAAAGTGCAATAAGGACCGAGGAATTAGACCAGAGACCCTGTGCCTAACAGAAGAAAAAGTAGTCACAAATCTTCATCATGTCAGATTAGGTCCCAACTTCCTTAACAAGTCTCCTTTAGTGCAAAAAATAAAATCAAGAATCAATAAATGGGATGGATTCAAATTGAAAAGCTTATTCTCAGCAAAAGAAACAATCAGTGAAGAGAGAGCCTACAGAATGGGAGCAACTTTTTATCACACACACCTCAGAGCACTAATCTCCAGGATAAAGAACTCAAAAAACATGAAAAGAACCAAATAACCCAATCAATAAATGGGCTAAGGAATTGAACAGACACTTCTCAGAAGAAGATAAACAGCCAATCAACAAAACATATGAAAAAGTGTTCAACATCTCTAGTAATTAGAGAAATGTAAATCAAAACTAATCAAACATTGCTGGTGGCACTGCAAATTGGTGCAACCACTATCAAAAGCAGTATGGAGATTCCTTAGAAAACTTGAAATGGAACCACCATTTGACCCAACTATCCCACTCCTTGGTTTATAACCAAAGGACCCCAAAACAGCATACTGCAGAGATGCAGCCACATTAATGTTTATAGCACCACAATTCACAATAGCTAAATTGTGGAACCAATCTAGATGTTCTTCAACATATGGATAGATAATAAAAACCTGTGGTATATATGCAAAATGGATTATTACTCAGCATTAAAAGAGAATAAGATCACGGCATTTGCAGGTAAATGGATGGAGTTGGCTAAGTGAAGTAAGCCAACTCCCCCAAACCAAAGGCCAAATGTTTTCTCTGAAAAGTGGATGCTGGTCCATAGTGGAGGTGGGGTGGGGAGCATGGGAGGAATGGAGGAACTGTGGATAGGGTAAAGGGGAGGGAGGGCAAGGGAGGGGGCAAAGGGGTAGGAAAGATAGTAGATTGAGATGGACATCATTACATGGATATAGACATGAATGATGTGAGTTTACTTTGTGTACAACCAGAGAAATGAAAAGCTGTGCTCCATTTGTGTACTATGAATCGAAATGCATTCTGCTGTCATGTGTAACAAATTAGAATAAATAAATAAATAAACAAACTAATTAAAAACCCCCACAATTTTGTGTTTAGAGACAACTATTCCTTTGTTGATCCTAACTATTCTTCCATTTACTGTATACTATCTCAGAGTTTACATGTAATGTGCTATGCCAGTGAAAGTTCACTTACATTATCTGACTTACAAGGACATTTATAATACAGAATTAAGTGGGCAGTAGTCTTCTAGAAATCAATTTAAACTGTTTTATAGTTGTGCATTACTATGCTGTGTTTGTTACACAAAAGCTGGACATACTTATAAACCATCCCATCCCCAAGCTGAACAATTCTGTGACCCAATAAGCAATACATGGAATTTGAAGATATTAAAAAACATTTTATCTTTATGAATGGTGCATTTTCCCTTTCACTGAAGATGATACTACCAGCCTGCCACAAACTACTGTGTGAATTGGAGTTATATTCAGTCAATAAGCTTGTATAGAGAGTACCTACTGAAGAGCAGGCACTGAGGAATCAAAAGTGTGAAGAGAGAAAACAGCAACATGGCTAAGAGTAAGGACTTTAGACAATACATCGATTTAGGGTGCGGTTCAAGCTTTGCATTAGACCAGTTGTGAGGCCTTATTTATAAAACTGGGATGATGTATAGTACTGTAACACCAACTTTACTGGTGGCTGTGAAGATTAAATAAGATGTACAGATCTTCTGTGCCAGGCATTCTGCTAAATAAATAATAGATATTAGAACAAATTAGCATCTACATGGAGTTAATCATTGTCAAAGGCAATCTACAAGGTGAAAAGGGATTTAACAGGAGGTAGACAGCATAACGGAAGCACAGAGAGGGGAACCATTCATTCCAGTGGGGACTAAGAGAAATCAATGAGGAAAACTTCAGAAAAAGAAGGCACATTGTAGTTGGACCTTATGGGACTTGAGCCCAAAGAAAGAAATGGCTTAATTCAAAACAGAGGCATGAGTCTGATAGGGTGTTAGGGAGCTCTGAGCAGTATAATACTGTTAGCATGTGAAAGGAAATGGCGGTATATAGTAGGGTAGAAAAAAGTAGGATGATATCTGGTTATAAAAACCTTGAATGCTATGCTAAAGAGTTTGACTTTTGATTATAATTAGAAACCACCGTAGGTTTTTAAAGTAGTGAGTAACATCATAATATCTGACTTTCAGACTAACAATCCTGATGGCTGTGTGGAGTCTGAACTTATGAAAAGAAATGATTTAGGAAACAAAGACGATATGCTGAAGCAGAGTGGTGGCAAAAGGAATAGGAAATTAATGACATGATTCAGATGTAGAGTCAACTGTAACTGGTAACTCACAAGATGTTAGGGATAAGGGAAATGGAAATACTAGAGAGTTTTGTCAAGTAATTGGCAGAAAGTTATACCATTGCTAACTCTATAGCACATTCTAAACATCTACTAACCAAAGTAATCAATGTACAAACAGTTCTTGCCATTCAGTTTATATCTTAAAAATCTAAGTATTTGACTTCTTTGTCTTTGGTTTCTTGCATCCTTGCTGACCTTTGTCTCTGTGCAACTTTGCCCCTTTTCTTTTCTTTGGTTACTGGTAGTGTTGAAGATCTTATATTAGGTAGAAACAATCCTTCCTTCAAACTCTTCACATCTGTATACTGTAATTGAGTAAGAGGAATGGGGTCTTGAAACATTTTTTTAAACACAAGATTTATGATAAAAAAAAT